GATTGATTTGACAGGAGAGATCTGTCACACATTTAAAAATTAACAAACAAGAAATGTCTCATCAAATGAAACATACTTAAATGAAGATATGTTGTCTGTCTATCTATCTATCTATCTATCTATCTATCTATCTATCTATCTATCTCTTTCTCCTCTCTCTCTCTCTCTCTCTCTCTCTCTCTCTATATATATATATATATATATATATATATATATATATATATATGTATGTATATATATATATATATATATATGTGTGTGTGTGTGTGCCTGTGTGTGTGTTAGATGTAAATGCGATTTTGTATATTTCCGTGAGAACTGGTTTTCCTGGTGCGTATAGAGGTATACCTATATCTGGTTTTAGATGGTTTTCACAAGAGAATAAGAAGGAAAATACGAGATATAACGAAGAAAATATCTTGAGGTATTTGTTGGCAATTTGTCGGCAGTTCTAAAACGTTTGGCCATTTTAGAATTGGATGGAATTTGGCAGGCCCTGGCTTAATGTCAAGCAATTCGGTAGTGGTCTGTCTTTGAGGTTCTTCTTCAAAACGTAACGATTCCTTGGGGAGATATCGCTATTACTATTGGCCATTTTGAAAAATGGACGATTTTCATGATAGGTCCCCCGTCGTGCCTCCGCTCTCACTGTTTGTTCAATCATTGACCCTGGTCACACACTTATATACATATATGTTTGTGAAGAGGGACAGTGGTAGTTACATCTACAGTATAAAATAAAGACAATCGCACACATCTTTGACGAAATTTATTACACTCACATTGATGTATGGAGGAAATAAATAAACTAAGACTACGTTACGGTTACAGTGAAAAAAAAAGGTTATGCACGGATTTATTAGTCTGCTTTTAGCTGATCTATCTACCTTTTCATTTCACTGAATATATATATATATATATATATATATATATATATATATATATATATATATATATATATATATGTGTGTGATTATTTTCATTTCAGTATATATCTCTACTTTTGTTGTATATCTATCCCATTATTATCACTCTAATTCAACCTATGCATATCTATCTATAAGTACTTTCAACTCCCTCTGTCTATAAATCTGCCTGCCTGAGTGTTTGTCTGATTCTCCGTATCTCTCTCTTTTCTCATGATCATTCTCTCTGTCTATATATATATATATATATATATATATATATATATATATATATATATATATATATATATATATATATATATATATATCCTCCTCATATCTATCTATCTATCTATCTATCTGTGATTTTTTAATAATTATCTATCAATCTATTTATCTATCTATTTCACGCTATTCATATGTGTGTGTGTGTGTACATATCTATATTTTATATCTAACACGCACACTCTCTCTATTTATATTTATATATATATATATATATATATATATATATATATATATATTGCATATTATACACCATTGTTGGTTCATATATATCAGTCTATCCATCTATCAGAATTTGGTAATTATCTATCTATCTATCTATCTATCTATCTATCTATCTATCTATCTATCTATATATATATATATATATATATCTAATTCTCTTCATATCTATCTATGTATCTATTTCATTCTGTTCACAATATTCTGTTTACCTAAATATTTTCATTTCACATTATTTTTATTTATCTTCTTCTGTCTTTCCATATCTAAACTTCTCTCTCTCTCTCTCTATATATATATATATATATATATATAATTATAGGTGTGTGTGTGTGTGTGTGTGTGTGTGTGTGAGTTAAATATCAAATATAGATCAAATATGTGCCGCAATCCGACAGGATCATAAAATAAAAGAACAAATAGAAACGTATATCAATCTAGCATGTTTCACTTTTATTAAAGCTTTGTCAGAGATTGCGAGAAAACAGACAACATGTCAGAAAACTATATTTAGGTCAGATCTCATTGGTCAAACACGTGTTACTTATACTGAAACCGTGGATAATTCTATGAAAAATTCTTGTATGTCTAAATGGGAAACGGATGGTAATGTGTATTTGTAATTGTGTACACGGCTTCTGTCCCTATATTTATGGCCTTTATATTCACCTTTGTGCTGTCAACCATAGCAGCCGGGAATCGCTGTCTTCTAGTTTATGGCTCGCCTCTTTTAGAAAGAATTCTTTGTATTAGACATATATAAGTTAGATTCTTTAAGAATAGATTCAAAGCAAGATATCAAATAATGTTTTAGGCTTCTGTTTATACTTGCTAATAATCTTATTGCTAAGTTTTCAATATATTTTCTCCTTAAAGAATTATGTTATTTTTAATCAGGGTGGCATTAGGGAAATCATTGTTATATCCATCATCGTTTCGATGCAAAACCACAGTTAGAGTGATTGTCTAAACGCACGTCTCTCTCTTGTGTTCGTAGATGCGGGATTTTAGATCACGTGATATATCCCCTGCATAAACTTTGTTGCCTTGTAAACAATTTATTTGATAGATCTTGGAATTCGAATCGGTGTTAGGGTTATTTTTCTTCCTAATTATATCTCGGATTTTCTTAGAGGTCGTAGCGATGGTCTTATTATTAAGGATGACTGATTTGTTTAAGAGTTTAGTAGAAAGAGAGTCGGAGATCAGGATTAAGAATTTTGTGTAATTTTTGGTAGAAGAGTTATCGGTGGTATTTGTATTTTTGGCTTTGTGGATTCTATGACTTTTGAGTCTGTCTATATTTCTGAGATGAGGTATTCTGTACAGTATTTACATTAGTCGGACTATTGTCCTCATCTTTGTCGCCATATTTATTACAACGTTTCGGCCTTTCAGTATCTGTCTATATTTCTGAGATGAGGTATTCTGTATAGTGTTTACATTATTCGGACTATTGTCCTCATCTTTGTCGCCATATTTATTACAACGTTTCGGCCTTTCAGTATCTGTCTATATTTCTGAGATGAGGTATTATGTACACTATTTACATTATTCGGACTATTGTCCTCATCTTTGTTGCCATATTTATCACAACGTTTCGACCTTTCAGTATCTGTCTATATTTCTGAGATGAGGTATTATGTACACTATTTACATTTTTCGGACTATTGTCCTCATCTTTGTCGCCATATTTTTTACAATGTTTCGGCCTTTCATTAGCTGTCTATATTTATGAGATGAGGTATTATGTACACTATTTAAATTTTTCGGACTATTGTCCTCATCTTTGTCGCCATATTTATTACAACGTTTTGGCCTTTCAGTATCTGTCTATATTTCTGAAATGTGGTATTATGTACACTATTTACATTATTCGGACTATTGTTCTCATCTTTGTCGCCATATTTATTACAACGTTTTGGCCTTTCATTATCTGTCTATATTTATGAGATAAGGTATTATGTACACTATTTACATTTTCCGACTATTGTCCTCATCTTTGTCGCCATATCTATCACAACGTTTCGGCCTTTCAGTATCTGTCTATATTTCTGAGATGAGGTATTCTGTACAGTATTTACATTAGTCGGACTATTGTCCTCATCTTTGTCGCCATATTTGTCACAACGGTTCGGCCGTTGTACGCTCCGGGCTTCTTCAGGTGGTTGGAATTTCGAACTGAACCCTTTATTTCGATCACTGGGGTAGACTGTTCTAGTTCCACGTGCCATGTTTGATGGATGTCAGTTATCAGTTATCACCTGCTAATTTTCCCTCTGAAAGTTCTCCACTGCCTTAACCAGGTATTGAACACCATTGGAAAATTCGTAAACTTAAGGAATCAGCACATATGCTAGGCCACAAAAATCTCCTGAGCCGACCAAGCATAGAAATAAAAACAATATGGGAACCAGTAATAAGTAGTGCCAGAGAAAAGCAATGATAACAAAGTTGCAATATGAACTCTGGTAAAGACATGCAATGATAACAGAAAAATTGCAATATGAGCACTGTTAAAAATGATGCTGAAAACATTAGGTTTATACTACTCAGAAGTTCATACCCAGATGTCCTCAAGGACACATGGCACAGTGGATAAAGGCGTTGGTTAGATCCAGTGACAGACCCAAAGAAGGTGAGTTCCGACTAATATAAATACTGTCTATGCCTTTTTTTTATTTTTTATTTTTGCTTAGAGGATAAAATGATGTAGTTACTGGAGGAGATACAAATACTTTTCTATATATCTCGCTTCTTCATTTAGGTATTCCGGACTACATATCCTAAGGGATTTAACTTAAAATATAAGTAGTCCAGTGTTCATTTTTGTGTTGTCGTGGAAATACAATACTTTGCGAATTAATTGGGACTGTGAGTTCAATATAATAGGAAATGGACATATTATCTAATCATTTTTGTTTTTTTCAAAAAACTTTACCCAACTGTTCTAAAATATTACGAATCTGTATTTTATATGTCCGCCTCTACTTCCAGTGAGGTTTTGGACACGTTTTGGTATAGATTCGCCCAGTTTTAGATAAAAGTTGCCCAATTCTTCATTTTGATACCATATCTAAATAAACGCACAGATTATTTTCTTCATGCTGGAATAGTTGTGTTTTTTCAGTCGTTGCTTTACAATATTCCATAAATGTTCAGTGCGTTTCAGGTCAGGAGACTTTCATGTCCAGTCCAACACTTTTGCACCCCCATTTTGAAAAAAATTCTGCATTTTTTTTCGATTTGTGTCAGGTGAAATTATCTTCCCGAAACACAATCAGTATCTGGGTAAAATTTTCCATTGGTGGGAGCATAGTGACTTTCGAAGATTTTGCGTTAAGGATAAAATGATGTAGGCAGTGGAGTCGTTTGAAATGCTTTTCTATATATATCTTGTTTCTTCATTTACGTATTTCGGACTACATATCCTAAGGAATTTAAGTTAAAATATACGTAGTCGAGAATTCCTTTTTGTGTTGTAGCGGAAATACAGTATTTTGCATATTAATTGGGACTGTGATTTCAATATAATAAAGAAAAAAACATATTAACAAATCAAGTTTATTCTTTTCAAAAAGCTTTAAA